GATGCAGTGGCATGTTGATGCTTCCCAGTGATCTGAATTTGAGGGAATGTTAAGGGATTATTGTACTTTACTGCCTACCCAGGCATCCATTCTAAAAATTCTTTGGGATGGCTGATTCGAATCCACTGATGTTACTTTGCTGGGTGATTGTTGTGTTTGCCGCACACGTGATGTGTTGCCATGTAAGTAACATGAACAATGATTAACCCCAACATCACACCCAGCACTGTGTTTAATTAGGAATGTGCTTGACTTGATCATGGTAACACAATGCAGTAATTGCAGAGTGACATTGTAACGTCTCCATAGTGCGGTCTGGTGACAAGCACATTTTTACAGTCAACGTTTGGAAGACGCAAACAAGCACAGAGTGTTACAAGGATAGTTGGATTTCTAAACCAAATCAGAAGGCAAATTCTACACAGATAATTACAACAAAATGCTTTAACTACATGCACCCTAATTTCTTACATAAAGTTGGATTTTTAAGCCCTGCTGTATACCCACATGGGAAAAGGAAGTGCAGCATTGTCAAGGCTGCATGCACTTTAACATAGGCCTTCAATTTCCAGGTGCCACATCAAATCTTTGAGAAGCACGTGTGCAAAAGTTGAATTCGACTCTGTCCAATTTTGCTCCGAACACCAAACTTTGCTCAAGTGGCATTCCCATTTCACAGCATGAATAATCAACTGGCTTTAGACACTGGTACCCTACACATTGATGGGCAGGATTCAGACATTGTCAGTGTCTTTAGACACTGGTACCCTACACATTGATGGGCAGGATTCAGACAATAACATGCAAGCAAACATGCTGCGGGAGACTGGCTCCCCCCAGTCCAGTGAGATTCTTTGCAACTGGCACTGCACGCAGGGACTCAGACAGAGCTAAAAAATACAACAGGGTTTATAAATGTAATTGAAATACACAGCCAGGAGCAAATATCCCTGAATTCTTCGTGCTAGCTTGGAAAACAAGGGTAATGAATAATACAACACCTCACGTAATGTTTCCGTCTCTCATGCCATACACTACATGTATTCTAATGTACTTTTTGTGCCATTCAAAATGCAGTACTATCAAACAATGGCCTATTGTCATAATGTGATCGGCTCTGGAAAAATGGGTAATACATGTAAGTCACCATATCCAGGTTATCAGTTTTGGATATGACTGGATTGAGTACATCACAAGCTACAATTTGATATATGAATGACCCCTGCAGTGCGCTGGGTTCCAGAGATACATAGACATTTGCACATCTACATTTTTAGATGGAAAATGCTATGTTGGATTTCCTACCGAATGATCAATTTTGCATCTTTATTCTGCAGTATCCATGTTTGTAGTCACAAAGTCTGAAAATTTACATGTTATAGAAGCTATTAAAGGACTAGAAACACACACAAAAATTACATTTTTCAAGAAATTTTGCCCTCTCGAAATAGAAGCGGCTACAGCATGTTTTGGCATTGCGTGACTTATTACCCTTTTTGGCAGAGCAGGTCACATATAATACAGTAACCAGAGCTCTGAAGCATCTGTATGCACCCACTGTGCATTCTGCATGTTCAGTAGTTGGTATATGAAGAAACATCAGCTCTGGAGAAGTTAGAAATGTGAGAGTGACTTTTCAACTCATTTCCAAAGGAATGTGCATCCTTTTTTTTTTTCAGTTCAATTAAAAGTAACACATCTCTGAAAGTGCAGAATCCGTGGGTGAAATGTTGTCGAACAAGTGTATCAAATGCTTTATCGCCTGGTATGGCATCACTGGTCTCCAAAGAAGAATAAAACATAACAGGTCTAAGGCCTAGGGAGGCCGGTTCCAACTGTAGAACTTTATGTAGTAATTTTCTTAAAGTTACCTTTCTTTACAGTTTCACAACGTGCAGACAAAAAGTGTAATTAATGAAACAGCGTATTGCCAATGATATGGAAGGAAGTTTGAGCAAGGAGTATGACTGCTGAATTGAATTTAGACAAATATTAATATATGTATACAAGATTTCACACAAAAATTCAAGCATAAGTTCTTCACATCATAATTTTTTTTTTTACATCTCTATACATGGAATTAATGCTGGATATTTATATTACAATTTAAAATTCTGCATCTAATACAATGTCATGTCGGTTTTGCTGAAACAAAAAAATTAACATAATACACACTATCAAACTGAACAGAAAGTAATTAATGGTTAATACACACCTTATCCATATCCATTAGTAATCAAATGGCATAAATCAGAAAATAAATGATCAAGCACACACAGGTTAGCATTAAATATTTACAAGAGACACTCTTTGTGAAATTAAGAAACCACGGCGAAAAATACTCATTTTGTGGGGGACAATTCCCAACTCTTCCTCTTTGTTCTGCTACGGATATCCCTTACCCAATAATGGATCTGAAACTGCTTTTCAGCGGGGGAAACATTGTGAGGACCATCCTGAGTCTACATAATGTCGCTGCATCCTGTTCCGTGTGGACGTCTTTTGTTCTCGGGTCCAAGCAAGGAACACAGTGCTTTGTCCAAACACACCCCCGCAAGTGTGTATTTGCCTGCAACTGGGGACCCCCTATTGTTCCTCTTTCATTTGTACTTCAACTTTTTTTAGAAGACCACCCATATGTTTTGTACACAGTTGTCAATCGGGGACCCTCTGTCGATCGGGGACCTTATTGTCCTCTATTGTTCAGGGTTCCCAATTGAAACAAACTCATTCACACTCTTGGGCCTTTTTAGAAATACTGTACATGTTTTTTCCTGTGCAGTAAAAAAAAACCGGTAAAAATTGCCTGGGTAACTGAATCAAATATCTGGGCACAGGTAAGGAGAGTCTGTTCCTCACAAAACAAAGTGCAAACATTTCTTTTGATCACTTTCAAAAGGATAAATAAAAATCAAAAATCAAAGAGGCCCGCATAGTGTATATACCACTTAAAGGGTAAATGTGATTTTAAACTTCTTCTTCCTATTCGATAGTAAAGTTGTACAATATACTGGTAGTACAGTTTACAATAAATATTAATTTTGAGAAGGATATGAATTCTGATCCATGTACATATCGTGAAATACTTCTTCAGTAATGTTAAATCTATACTTGGATACCTGGACGCTTGGAATTTTGGATAATTTGAGCTAGTACACAGAGACCGCAGCTATGGCTGAAGCAATCTTCAGTACTTAATATTCTACAATGGACGAAGAATATTTGTGCACGCTCTTTATGCGGCAGTAATTTAGCTACACATGAAGGACTGCTCAAAGTTATTCAGTTGTTTCTCCATACTCCTACCAAGTTGGATCTAGGGGACTATTTCCCAGCAGACAGTAAGTGAGGAGTATTGGCGAGTTGGCAAACACATGAGCCGCAAGCAATCTAGAGAATTGGTTTGGATGGGCAAATATGCTCACTTACAATGCGCCTGGATTCTTCAAAATGCCTCTTGACATTTCCACTGATCTGATGTATGTTCTCTACATGCATTGGAAAGAAAACAAAGTGGGCCACTGAGAGTTGAGGTTTTGCTTAGCAGAGAAAGCAGCACCAGTGAGCCTGCAGTAGCACCATGCAGGAGAATCTCATTCGTGAGTGGGTGAGGCTCTGATGGAAAGAACCGGTGGGCCCAACATGTCGGACAGGACCCAGAGTCTCCAGATGCGGGGTAGAAAACACGGCCCAAAACGTTTGAATCCACCGCTGCCTGTCAGCACCTTTACCGACTCACAAGATGGACACTCCTGAGCATTACCACTGCAACCTTACAAACAATGTGAACCACCGTCTTCAAACCAGGCAGAAAGGGTGTCACTGTAGTTACCAGCCGGACGAGGGGAAAAAACACAGCTCATCACAACTACCGACTCCACAACTGTTGCAGTTTTCACTACAGGCACAACTGTACTTTGGGTCAAAGTAGTATGAGACAGAAAACTCCAGAAACCAAAATGAAAGGACTTTATCTGCCAGGTTTTAAGAAGCAAGCCGCCTACCTGTACCGGCATACAGTTCTTTGTTTTGCATCTCACGTTCAGTTTTGCAGACAAGAACTCATTAGGCAAAAGGTTCATTACTCATATAGTGTAACTTGAGGCCACTTGCCTTAGTCCAAGTTAAAAGCATTTCACATAGATTTCTATTAGTGTTATTCATGCACATGCAACCAGGGAACACTACACACTAACATATATGCAAAATGCCCACTTACACTTTAATATGGAATGTTATCAAAGAAAAGTATTTTTTGCTTTCTCATTCATAAAAGTTTTTTCGTTCGTAACATACCAGTATTTAGAATTCCTATTTAATATACACAGCCTGGATTTACAATACTTATTGCACTTGAATATAGTAACACAAATGATGACCTTAAAAGTCACAAAAAGTACATATGTACTTGATATTTTGTTCTATGCTCATACACTGCACACTTAGAAAATGAGAAAAGAGCACACCTCTGTACAAAGGACTGATTACAGACACTAATGTTTTTGTTCGTTTCATACGTGCATTATAATATACATGTACTGCTCTTTCGTCTTCCCTTTTGAAATCAGTTGCTTTTATTTACTGAAAGACTAAAATACAATGGCTGTAACAAATCAGAAAAAAAGTTGAGTGTAAGATTTCATCAGCACCACAGGGCTTTCATTTTCGACACACGGGCACAGAAATCACTGTAGAGAGACAGGCTTCTGTGTGTGTGCGCACAAACAATGCAATTACACAACATGCTTTCTGAGAATTCCCATGGGCAAAAACCATGCATGACCTTTACAAATTGCAAAATGATCATCGTCAGAAGAAGAAAACAGCCGGTACATTGTATAGTTGTGTAGCACGAGTTCTGATAACAATGCTGGTTGTCATCACCCACGGTTGCATACATGTACGTGTAATCTTGCATGATGCATGTCCAAGTTGGGCCAAGTCCTGTCAGTGCCCATTCGTCAACTACTTGTTGATTTTGCCCAGTACTCAGCATATATTTCAGGCACAGGTCAACAGGCAAAGTTGACTTGTAGCTGACCGTGGTCACTGATCGAACTGGGCCATAATCGGCACAGGGTTTGGTATCTTTCCTACAGCTTTTCTATGGGTGGCTGGGTCCTGTGCTATCTGCATCAAGCGTGTGATGCAGCGCGCACTTGCATAGAGAATGTGTACTGAGGGATTACTGGATATTTTGGCTTTGCATTCAGAGTTCGTCTTCGACAATCCCTGTGAACTATAGGGGATTTCCCTGCCTATAAATACACTGTACATCTATCTTCCTCTTCCCCAAATTTGCAAGAAAACTACCTGCACAATTTATTAAAAATCTGCACACTCTCCGACCAGTGATAAGAGTATTGTTTGTCACCTGCATCTGGATGCTTTCCTTATTTCGAAATGGCTGTTCATAATGGCAGGTTTTTGTCGGCTTTCCGACAGCCTTAATTATGAACAAGTTGCCATTTGACAAGTGCCCCTGTAAGTAAATGTTCACCAACAGTGTGGCTACTTGGCCAACAGTGTGGCTACTTGGCCAACAGTGTGGCTACTTGGCTTCAATGCTCCTGAACTGAAAACCAAGGACTCTTTTTACCTTTATTCACTTCCGTGATCTACCCTGAAATTTGAACTAACCCACTTCTACTAAACATCAAATTAACCAGGCCAATTCTATCGAGTTTGTGAATCTGGGAGTCATTATCGACACATTAATGTAGTTTTATAATTTCAGGCAAGTTGTCTACTTTTCCAAACAGCCAACAGGACTAGTCTAATTGATTGAACTTTATTGTAAAATACCTAAAATATTAAGAGGGAAAAAAAATGGCAAGATGCACCCACAGGAACGTGATCCACTTGTTACATTGGCTCCTCACTGGCGACATCCAGGGCAAAACTGCCCAATTTCTATCTTCTGAAGCTACTCCATTTTGGCTCCTGTTTGACCCTACCGACATCCGAGACTGGATCATGGGGTGAGCAGGCAGGGGATGACGGCCGACTCCAACAGCAGGCTGATGGTGATGAAGACGACGTAGAGGAGGAACATGGCAGCGCCCAGCGTCTTGGTCATCCGCCAGCGGGAGACGGCGATGGTCACGATGACCATCAGCAGCATGCCAAAGAGGAGGAGGATAGAGCAGAAGAGGCCCTTGCTCTCCACGGTGGCGGGGGAGCCCAGCTGGGTGATGCTGTAGATCAGCCACGGCAGAGGTAGCCTAAACGCAACCACAAGAAGTAGGACTTAGTCAGATCCAACAATTGATTATTGAAACATTTGACCTGAAATATGATTAACCACTCGCATACAGAGATTGTGCAGAGCAGCCATCTTTGGGGTAAGTGCTTTTGTTAAGAAAGGGTAGCACACAAAGTCTTGTGTATCCCTGTTTCTCTTTTCAGTTGTATGGCAAATGTTTGGTCACCCAAATCTCAAGAGAAGCATTTTTTTTTACTGATAAATGACATATTATACATCATAACCATAACAATAACTTGGGATTAGTTAGTAACCACAAGCAGAACTGTTAACTTCTATTGGGGGATGAAACTTTATTAACCACTTGCTGCCGGGTGCTTTTAAAAATGCAGTGTACACATGCGGCAGATTGTCAAGATTTTCAGTTTTCAAAATTCTTCATTTCATTAAATGGACATTTACACCCACACGAATGACTGTTTGGTGGCTACTCTAGGCTGACAGACAAATTCATTGACTCGTATTTCAGCAACGCCTGCCGCCATGTAAAAGAGAGCCCAGAATTGTGAGGTGTTGCGTAATTTCCTTTGTCCCCAATGAAGATGAGTGGTGTCTTTTCAAATGTGGCTGGATTAGCATGCAGCGGTGCTGTGTCACTCATCAACGGGTGGGCGCGGGCGTGCTATGCCCAAAACAGTGGTAGACTGTTTAAAAAACAGTAAAATGACTTTAACACATTAAATGACTTTCTTTCATTTCACTGTAATACACTAAACGATATTCAAATTGAAAAAATAGATATTTGATATTCTATTTGATATTCTATGATCCCTATAAAATGGCCTACCAAGAAGCAGGGAAGCCATGATAAAGTGAGCGTTTTCATACTTAATCGATGATTCAGTATCGTGTCCAAGGGGGGGGGGAAAGATTAGCAGAGACAGGGAATCTGATAATAGCACAATCGGGGAGGCAAAAATTACAAATGCAACATGAAAACAGTATATCGCACAGCAAGTATTCCAAAAATACTGGTACATACACTTTACATGTATACTTCCAAAGCAAAAGTAAACCACAAAACCCTAGTCTGCATTGAGCAAATAAACTCCCTGGCTGCAAGTACATGTACATGTATGTGCCCACAATAGTTTCAACAACATTCTATGGCACACAAGGACAAAAAATGCAATCAACAATGAAACAGCACAAAACACAACAAACAACGAAAGAAGCCCCAAGCAAACAAAAAGACAAAAGCAAAGGGGGGGGGACTTTGATTCACAGACTGGCCCTGGGTACTAAGATGGAGTGCGGATTCGGACAAAACCTCAGGTTTTTTTTATTCTCTCTCCATGTTTCATCAGCTTCAGCGCAAAATGTTTGATTTGTCATGGGGAGCTGGATGAACACTCCATGCACAAAAGTATCTGCCTCTGCTTGATGCCAACATTTCATCAAATGAAAGTTCTCCGCTAAATTATACGAAGGGTAGCAGAGACTAATCATAAAAAAAATTCCACGCCCACTAATGGCAAGTAATCATCATTAGATACGAGGTGCTTTTGATGTGCAGGGATGTGCCGCCACCTGACTGATGTTTGCCACTATTCAATTTTCGTCTTGGCTGGCTCAGCAAGTTCCTTTGTTGAGACATAAATCGGCTTTTTGAGTTGTGCGATCATTATTGTTCCATTACGGGGAAAACACATCACAGGACATTGCCTTGAGAGCGGTGTGCTTGCATTTGACAGATATCTTGCATCTGAGATCTGAATGGGAATACCCATTACGAATTTAATGGCTCCCCGGAGTGACCACAAAAAATTTACCTGAGCAGGGGCTTATCGCTGCTGTGCATATTTGGGCAAAATGGCATCGGAAGAGAGTGAAAAATGATGAGGCCTTGGAAGCATGTTATGCAAAGGCCATGTGGGATGTACAGACAGAAGTCAGGGTGGGTTTTTTGAGTGGGGCCTCTTGCCGTCCACAAGCCCACGCTGCACTGCATGGGAAATTAATTGCATTCATTAGTTTTTAATGACCAGATCTCTCCATCTCATCAGTCCGTTACTTTATTTACTGGTGCCCGATGGGACATCTGTCATAGCTTATTAAGTATGAATGATGTTCTGAAATCCACAAGACTGGGACGGGGGGGGGGGGAAAGGACTCGGCTGGCGAGTCTGACTCGTCTTGAATTTCTCGGCAAAGATGAGACTTGGCAGGAGTACACAAGGCAAGCGCGGCCGGCTGGGCAGGCCCGCCCTCCGGTTAGATGTTCCCAGTGATAATTTGATCTATCGGGTTGCCGGTGCCTGGAAAGAGATTTCTTTGGGTGGAGTTTGTTGCAAGTGGCCACGCAGCGGGCAGCAATTATTGACAGAAAAGGATTGATGCTCGGGGCGGACCACGCTGTGATGCACACTGTTGCACACTAGTTGATGTACGACGGGCAGGGGCCAAACATGCCAGACAAGGAGAAAGCCACATGTGTACAGCACAGAGCAAAGATGATGGGCAGGGACTGGAGGATATTAAGAAACCAAGGAGTTGGCATGTCTTTAGTTTTACCGCCCCAAGACAGAAAAGATGAAGATGAAGATGAAAACAGATTGGGGCCAGAGGGAACACGCCTATCCCTTATCCAAATCAAATCCTTGGTACTGCCCAATGGCCGTGCAATAATAAGCAGATGCACATCCCATATACAACGCAGGCCGAATGCACTGCGTCTAAGAATGTGAGTCTTATCTGCCTCTGCAGCAAAAGCAAAGGGCTATTTAGAACAACGCAGCGCTTGTTACTTTGTAAAATGTTCAGCAAGTGATATGGCGCCCACACTACACAATACTCAAAAGCCTGCCACCAGTGTACAAACTGTCAGACACACTAGGCAGGGTTTTATTTTACTGCCACAAATAAAAGGATTTTCCAAGCCCCCCAAAAGAAAGAGTTTCAAAAGAAAACTTACCCAAAACAAACTTACACTAAGAACTTACATTAGTACGCTTCAGTTTCAAATTAAATGACTCTTAAGTCCTTAACTTGAAGAAAACTTCAAGAAACCATTTTCAGTAGGCCAATTTCTGCACAGAACATCAAAACTCTTGCATACGAATGCAATGCAAAGACTAAAGCTGTTCTCAATAACGAAGGCTCTCTAAAGATGTTCCAATGGGTGATGTAGCCGAAAATGGCCCTAGACTCCACTGGGCACTTACCCAACGGTGATGTCAAATATATTGCTCCCCACAGAGCTGGAGACAGCCATGTCACCCAGGCCCTTCCTGGCTACAATGACGCTGGTGATGAGGTCCGGTATACTGGTGCCTGCAGCAAGGAACGTGATTCCCATCACCTGAAAAGAACAAGTCAAATCACCTTGGTTGGTTTCGGAGGAACTAGAATAATGCTGATTACGGGCAAAACAGCTTTAACGTCATTCAGAGGGCCCTGCACAAGCTAAATTTGCAGCCAACCAGAAAATTCTGCTTGCCAGACAAGGATGAATGTGCCGGGGCTTGTTGTTAAAATGAGCTCACAAGTTAAATTCCACCTGACAAAAACATGTTTAATATACCTGATAACTCTCCATGCATGCACTGTACATGTACATTGCATGTGCCCCTACCTCACAAGTAGCATAACATGTTTTGTACATGTAAAACATTTTCAAGTCAGATGTGATAAACGAACTTAATGCATATTACAGAGTACACGTACACATATATGTACATGTACAGTGCATGTGCAATGTAGAAAGCAGAGCTACATGTACAGTGAATAACCTTTGCTTTCGCTTGCACTACACCTGTGAGTAAAATTATCTTGGCAAGTGCACAGCACATGAATAGCTGGGCATAGCATGTACACTGTGTGAACATGTATGTACATGTCCTTCATGCAGCTTGGATCATCACAGATGCCGTTTTGATAATTCATGCATTTTTTTTTTCAGGCAAAACAACTTCTGACAGGAAATTCAGTTGTCAGAACACAAGGTGCTCTGCACATTTTGGAGGCTGCATCGAGGCTATTAGATTGGGAGTAATGGAACAGCTGCTTGCACAGCCTCTGAAAATGTTGAGGGCCTGTTGTGGCGTGCTGACCTAGGGTTTAATTTACGGGGACATCACTGGGCTGAGCGGGGAGAACGGCAACATAAGTAGTTACCGAATCTTTGATTCCGATCGTCCTGCCAAAGACTGTCGCCCACCACAGCATGAGGTAGGAGAACCCAGCGATGAACAAAATACTGCCGACGAAAGTCACCGGAAAATATTTCCTCTTCTCCTGCAAAAGGGAGACAAAAAAACCCAGACGTAGGTCAATAAATGAGTGATAATGTACATGTATGTACATGACCCACTTTCCAGGTTTGTCCTAAAACTGACCCAACCCTGCATGCTTGTATTTCTGAACCTGATATGAAAGCGTGGTCTGGCTGATACGAAAACTCATTTCGGTCGTTACTGGAGATGGCTCGTGTGGGGGAAAAAAATCTGACAGAGACGGAAACGGTGAAAACGGGACCTCCCATGTGATGCAGATTGGATCTGCTGCTGGACATGGCCGAGCCTCCTCAGGGCCTCTGTCCAGGGTTTCAGAAAGCAGAGATGCAAGGAAAGTAATCCCCGTGAGGAGATACTGACCTTTGCAACTGTCAGGGGTATCAAATGGGTACCAAGATCCTATTTCTGCTTGTAATGAAAATGATGGGGTCGCCTTCTCATAAGATGAGGCACAAGTCACATCAACATTGGTGCATGTACCAGTACATGAACCGACATGGACATGTACATCAGTTGAAGTTCACAATTAATGGAAACAATTTCCCTACAAAATGCTTTTAAGTCTAAGTAATTTTAGATCCCAAAGTAAGACATTCAATTTACGTACTCTTTTGTTGCATGTAAACATTCAGACACTTTTCATGGAGCAAAAATGGAAGACAAGGGAAGTAAACCTTGCACAGTATACCTGTTTGCAGAACCGTCTTCATGCAAAAGTACTTGAACCAAACCTTCAGTGAAGTACATCCAACATGCACGTATTTCACTATTCAGTCCCTCGCCTTAATCAAAGTATGTGGAAGTTGTGCAGTAAAGGCTTTCTGTCCATGCTTAAACCTGCACGTACACTGTGAGCTCGATAGAGTGACTTAATTTTTGAGGACTCTGAACTGTTGGGAATGAAAATCGTGAAGACACAACGGGAAATCGAAGGAGGGCTTCAGACTTACAGCACACCCCAAGTTGTGTTCAATAATAACCAACAAGCTATTCGTACAAATGTTTTGCAATTTAATTGAAAGAAATACACGTCACTATCCAGTCCAGAGATTTGTTGCCTGCCCCGAGAAGAACTCCCACTTCAATTAACTAACAATGCACTCTAAATTCAAATCAAACAGTTGTTGAGTGTCCTCCCGTCTGCACGTTCCCACAGATCCTTGATCTTCTTGAGGAGGATCTGCCACAACACGCTCCAAGGGAAAACTAATAACACAATCAGCGCATGCTAGAATGAAGAGCTGATGCCAAGATAACGTCGTCACATGAGTGATTAGCAGGGAAAAGGCCATAAATCAAATGACGGCCGGCACACAAGCAGCTGGGAGTAGGTGTGAAATTTGCCAAATGGCGTTCTTAGATGCGTGAGGAAGCCCTCGAACATGAGGCATCAGGCGGACGGGTTACATACGTAACTGGCTTCTACAGAGACTGCGGCGCTAGCTATTTGGCAGCAGCTTATTTCTGAAAAATGGGGGAGGGATAAGGAAAAATTCAAGGATGATTTAGAGTCCCGCAGGAATGAAAGCAGAACAGAGATGATTTGATTACTTCAGCAATGGACAGAATGAGAAAACAGGCATTCTGAGGCCACTTGGGGAGGGGGGGAGCCAACAGCTCCGATGTTGGCAGTCAGAAAATATGTGTCAGGGACAGAGGGTTAAAAGTGAGTTTGACCAGTGCAGGAAGGAGGAAAAAAGAGGAGAGGCTTAAGAGATCAGGAAGTGAGGACAAAATTAGGCAGAAAGAGCAGAAGGAGAAGGGAGGCTAAGAAATCAAAGGAGGTTGCAGGAATAATTAGAATGGGGCAAAGCAAAAGCAAAGGGGTTGAGAGAAAGCCTTTGATGTTAGGAAGCGTGGAAAAGCATGGTGGCTAAATGGAATGAAGAGGACAGGAAATTGTGCGAGAAACTGGTACAGCAGTTACAAATGGATGTGTCACGGTAGCGAGTGGGGGCAGAGGTTGGAGAAATGCAGATGCTAGAATTAATTTGAATGTTTCCAGATCTTCCTAAGTCCAGCAGGAGGTTTGAAAGAAATTGACGTATGTTCTAAATTGTGGAGCCCCGTCATTATTACCGGCAGTACTAACATCGTTGAAAGTGCAAGAAAAAGACAGATGGGAGATGTCACGAATAGCTACAAGAGACAATATCAACGAGGGAAAAGTGAAACAAATATGTGTGTTCTGAAAGTGCCTAAACTTAGGATGCGCGAAAAAAGTGCTACATTATAAGGTTGAAAAAAGGATAGTACAAGGCAAGGCAGATGGATCGTGACAATGCAGCTACTGTACTTCAACGTAAAGGTTTCAAATCTCATTAGCCGACAAGCACTGTACAGATTCTGACAGATGTCCCAAAACATCGTTGTGATGCAAAAAGGAACGGGTCATCCACACGTCTCGTGGCATATGCACGATAATTGAGTTTCACACCTTCCCGGGCCTTGTTTTCCATGCTTGATATGGATGTATCAACCGGGCAGACTTGTGACATAATGGAACTGATGGGTGAGCTGGTGGTAGAACGGTGGGCAATATTCCCATTATGGCGCAGTTTGGAAGGTAATATCTTCTTGTTAGTGTGGTCAGCAGCAGGACATCATTCGGTTCATTTATTCATACAAGCCAATGCGTCCGTGACTGGACGCCAAATCTGTGAAAGGCTCTGATACAGGTCTGCAACATGATGGTTACCTGGCATTGTGCTTGGATGAGTACTTTGTACAGTATTAAGGAATGAAATACCAGACATACACGAGATATATCTACAACCCAAGGTGTTCTGTCCATACATGTATATGTAACTGTCAGAGGATGGGCAAAGTTCAGGCAGGATTTGCTACAGAAACAAGAAAACTTACATGTACCATGCACAGAAACTCAGCAAAGGAAATGCTGACCAACGCATACAGTGTAGCTATCCTCTCCTTGCCCACATTTTGATTTCTTTTCCCGTAACTTTCAATACTGCAATTTTCATCACTACCAAGGGTCTGCAATTATGAAGTAGGCAACATGCCTAAAGCCTACAAATATTTTGGAGCCTACCCAAAAAAACCCATGTGAGAGCCAACAAAATTACCAGAATGCTGTAAAACAAACAGCTCTTAACGTTTCTCTTTGACTTTTTGATTGGGGGATAGATAACTTCAAACTGGTTTAACGTGCATTAACATTAACATGAAAGGTGAGGCTCCATCGTTTTTCTAGTGTTATGAAATTGGTCCTGGTGAATAGGGAGGATTTGCGGCCTGCAGAACACAACAGCTTAGGGCCCAGAGAATGTTCAACCCAACCCTGTCTGAGCGAGTATCATCGCCGCTTTAGCACACGCAAGACACATGAGCAGGTACGTGTTCTACTGCATATTACATGAATGAACCAACCTCTCTCCTGACATCTGGCAGTAACAGCCACATTGGAAAGACCAAAGGGGCGAGAAGGACGTAGGTGACCCGCTTCCGTAGCGTAGGGGGCCAGCTGATGTCCAGCGGTTCCTCAATGTCCTCCTCAGGGATCTCCTGTACACAACATACACAAACAACAATGGAAATTAGTTGGATATAACTACATGTACATGTACTAGTAATGTATAATACTAAATCTGAGGTTAATAACAAATCCTCATCTTTTTTTCAAATCGTAAAAATCACACGAAAGACAGGTGCAATTTAATGAATGAATGTGTTCACACAAAATGTTAATTAGCGGTACTTACACAAATGCATGTTTGTGAATGCGTACTGTGCTTATTGTCCCCGGATTTGAGTTTCTAAGCAGGCATGCGGTGTCCATTCTTACACAACTTTGCGGTTTGTTTTTCATCAAATCAGGTACTCATACTGATGTGGCACAATGAACTTTTGTACGCTGGACCAGGGCCCAATTTCATGGTGCTGCTTACTGCAAAATTCCACGCTTACGATCTCCATTCTGCACTAACCGAGCAAGCAGAAAAATTCTGCGCTAACTCTTTTAAGCACAGAATCTTTAGTCACGGGATATACGCAAGCGCACAAGCCAAAATTCCTCGCTAACCCGTGGAATACATTCAGCGTGCAATGTAAGTGCAGAATTTTCTGTTACGGTAAGCGCTGAAATTCACTTGCAGTAAGCTGTGAAATTGGGCCCAGAAAAGAAAGAGAAGTGTTTGTTTCAGGTCAAAAAATTGCACTGTGGGAGAAATCACAAACACTTCATGTAACACGCACATGCATGTACAAATGTACGCGTGTTCATGTAGGATTTTTTCTTTCTTTCCAAGCTGTATAATGTACATGTAGGTACATATACATGTACGTACACTATGAACTGCCACAATCAATTAAGGCTGGTTCTCTCTGCTAACGGTATAAATCAACAACAACCGAAAAAAAACAGCTAAACGTCTTTGTGCAATTTTGGCCAAATCTTAATCAAGTTTTACTCTAGCTCAATTGGTTACGCAATGGATGCTGTAAAGTGTCAGTATAACTTACGGGGGCAAGAAACGGCCCTCGTGAACTTTGGCTAATTACGGTATATGAGGTACATGTGCATGTACTAGTACATACATTACACGTACCTGTACATTACAGGCAGTGCCCTTGAATAAACACAGTGACCGGAAACAAAAGGAATGAGATTCGATCACCTCCATTTTCTGGAATCCAATAAAGCGCAGGTAATTTAAACGAAGCCACTTCACGCAACCGGAAATTAGTACATATATATTAAGTCCCACCTCGATCCTAAGCGTAATGGGCATGCTTTGAGATGATTAAGTTTTCCCAGTATTTTGTGGGGAACACTGTGGATGAGAGCATTATACTACACAGTAACTATTGGATATACACATATGTACATACCGGATATACAACATGTGCATGTACATGTGTATGTACATATATGTGTACACACATGTACATGTATCCCGGTACCGGTACATGTTCCTGCATGCTGGGTGACACTGCCTGGTGCACACAGACTTCCCCGGCAAAAATTGTTTTATACTTGATGAAATGGAAGATGAAAAATCACATAAATAGAAAAAGTGCATTATTGGGGTGGGCTCAAGTGACTCTCAAACTATTAAAAGCATGCATTTTTTGAAAATTCATCTGAAACGTACTATAAACGTACACATGTACGAGCACAGTACATGCATGTACAACATTGAACGTGTACTAAAAATGTAATACATGAACACTGTACTAAGATAAAATGATTTTACACACACATGTACATGAATTAGTTTCAATTAATTCAGAAAATTGTGTAAATCCTGGCTTGACGACATAGCAGATTCTAATAACTACACAAACAAGGATTTGTGTAGATGAAAACTCTCAAATACTTACACGTACATGTCAACTATTTAAGTTTTACAACCTGGCAGCATTGTATGGCATGTTTGTGACAGGCACCTCAAGCCAAGCCTACAGTGTACGCCAACTTGTTCCCCCCTCCCCCCCATCAGCTGTCTCCACTTCTTCCCGTCTGGCATGACTGCTCTGAGGTCTATCTTTCAGCCAAGTCCTCCAGGGATCTTGCTGCCACACAGCAACAGAGTGTGTTACGGTATCCCTTCCCTCTTCTTGTGCTCCCCTCGTGCCTTGCTGACGTGTGGGTCTCCCTGTGTCTCCGAGCACTTTGTGGAGTTCATCCCAAGCTTTAATTCCCCTCTTATCAATCATGGAGCACTTTTCTTCAGTTGACTGTGCCAAGAGTGATTTGAAGCTTACCGACCCAAAAAGGGCATCTCATGAAACACACAGAGAAAAAAACATGCATTTTCTTTTTCGCTCTTCATCATGATCTCCATTTATCCAATATCATTCGAATAAATTACATGCAGTTTCCATTGAAGGCTACATGTACATGTATATCATGTGGACTCTGTACATGTACATGTACAGATATACATGTATTTTACTCTGTCCACCCTCTGACTGGAAATTTCCCCATGATCACCATGCAGCAAACAAGGCTGGAGGGAAAGTTTCAACTTGGTGCACATGCAGTGTTTATGTACATGTACGATACTGGTACATGCACATGTATGTGTACTGCTCAGCTCATACTGCTCAGGACACACATGTACAGTACTGTACATGTACATGTATGTGTACATATACGTACATGTACACATACACGTACATGTACATGTATGTGTACTGCTCAGCTCATAGTGCTCAGGACATACATTTGCACATGTACATGTGTATCCTACATGTACAGTGCAGTGTACTAGTACCACATTTACATGTACATGTACGGTTTGTCAAACGTGCATGAACCTGTGTGCCAACACTATACCAGTATACATGTACACATACATGTACCGGCACCTTGTGTGGACCCAGGAACAAAAGAGGTCCACAGTGTGAACCTTCTGTGGACTAAGCCAGGTCCACACAAGTACCGGTAACTGCCTCTCTGGAAAACAGCTCTGGGGGCATTTTCAGGTTTGATATACATGTAGGGCTATATTTCTGAAGTGTGATGGAAGAGGAACGGTCAATAAGACCATTGACAAAAAATAGCTCTAGAGAGAGAGAGAGAGAGCTCACAGAGAGCTCACAGTAGACTGGACTACATGTACATGTAGCTGTCCTCATCGCGTTTACATGCATGCAGTCTTTTCCTACAGAGAGACGCCTATGTCAAAATATGCATGCCATCTCGTGTTCCTGCACTGGGCAAAGGTACATGGTACATGCATGTACGGATGAAAAATCCTGAAGAAAGAACTCAGTAGAAAAATGTATGTGGAACCAGACTTGGGGAACCAGACTTGCCACTGGGATATACATGTAGGCTTTGAGAATGTGCTTTGTCTTGTTTCCTCTTCCCTTTCCCTTTCCCTCTCTCCCTGATATTTTTCTAATCAAAATCAGCCGGTATAATGAAGGCCCCACTCTAAAAGCACTCAAGATTTATCATTGGATGCAATTTTAAAATGCCTCAGCCCAATGCCTATTGGTGTGTGTCTCTCTTTATATATGTACATGTACCTTAGCTGAGTCCAAATGTCAAAAAGCACTTCCCCAGCAATGTTTATGAACGCGTCTGGGAGATTGGCGAGGCACGGGCAGAGGTACATGTCCATGTACAAGTACGTACCAGTAGTCTGTGTAGTCATGTCAATGTCGTCAATTAAGAGACAACTACTACACAAGTACCTACATGTACATCCACACGTGACAGTGTGCACTAGTAAGCGCACAGACAACCCCTCCCCACAACTTCTATGTGTTCAAGACACACTTAGTTTTCACTCCTTGGTATGTCTATATAATTGTTAATTGCAGAGAACCGAGGCATACATGTACATGTACATGTACAAATGTATGTCACAACTGACGACTTTGTGCCATGTCAACACTACATCCTTAAGATTTCAGGGAGAGATAATCACAAGTTTTGAAGTGTTTTGATGGAATTCATGACTGCCCCACCCCACGCAGCCACATACCGTATATTTGTGAAGTCCTGTCCAAATACTGTTCATTACAAACAACAAAAAAGGAAGTGCTACAAGTACATGTATCAAATCACTGTTTTAGGTGTTGAAGTTTGAAGGATTAGGGAAACTTCTGCACAACACAGAAGCCACCCCGAGGCCACGCACCACTAAGAAAAATAAAAATCCCATTTCTGGTCATATGCAATGTTCTCCCTAATGCCACGGCTGTATGCAGGCACAGACTTCATCATCCACCAGTACCGGTAGTATCAGTCTTGCCAGAGACCACCGGCTCTCCCTCTTTATGAATTTATGACAGTGCCACGATCAAATTCATCTATCTCGATTACTTGATGCCAGAGAGGAAGCCGGCCAATACCCACAGCCGGAGCAATGAAAATGGAGAGCTGTATATCAGCGTACAATGTATACTGTATATCCTGGGTCCTAAGCTACTGCAAGGGCAGAGATAATGCAAAGGGGGGGGGGGAGATGTACACTGTACACGTACAGGAGGTACAGGCTGGCATGGAACCGATACCAACTTTCAACTGATGATGCATTTCTTGCCGTGAGGGAAAAGAAATTGTAATGCCCAGACCCTTGGTTCAAATTGGACCAGTTTTAACGATGCCTCACTGCTGTAGTTCCAGGTACAGCACATACATGTACACTGGAACATAAAAATATTTCTTTTTTTACGAGGGGAGAGGTTTTTTTTTTTTCAAATAAACCACAGCGTAATGACAAAATGCTGCGGACCTACAAAAGGGCATGACCATGAATGTCAGGGTTTACCGGTACAAGTACAAGCACAGGATGATGTACTGTATACATGTGTAAACATGTAAAGATTTACTCAAACCAGCGACATGTACACGAACAAGAAAAACAAGGAGATACCGGTTGGTGGAATGTTCCTTCAAAATAAATACAAACCCATGATCACTATGAACCGAAGCTTCACAAGCGACTGTAAATCTGTATATTGGGCTTAGAATTTTTGCTAAAAAACAGAGAGAGATGTACATGTACATTGTACATACATGTAGCGTGTATTTCTGTTAAATATAGTATGCCAGTACCAGAGATATCTAAAGGTACCGGGTACCTGTTACGAGTGCCTGATACTGGTGCATATACAGTGTACGTTAGCTGGTAACTGAAATACCACTCCTATCATTTCAACAAAAAGCATGTCTTAAATTTCCAGATATGCATGTACATGTACATTCAACATTTCATAAAGAGTGTACAATGTTCGGCTGGTCAAAGAGATATTAATGAAGAAGCCAAACCTTAAGAACCAACACAGAGTGTACCGTACGCCTGTGCATGACGTACGGTACATGCCCCATGAGGTTTTTCACCCTCTCATTTGAATATCAAGGTATTGCTACAAGATGACAGCATCGTTTTTAATCTCTCTACCGGTACATGTAAATTCCAGTTAGTCAAACATCCTTGCCCTTACCTCAGCATTCTAAGATACACGTATCTGCCCTGGCAGATCTGCCTGCCCTGGGCCCAATTTCATGGCGCTGCTTAGCAAACAATTTCAGAAGCTCAGCGTATTTCATGGACACTGTAAGCAGCATAAGCATAGCCAAATTACCGGTAGGCATGCTGAGCTTGGAGGTACATGTACTGGTACATCCGTACAGGTACTGGTAGACATAAATTGTTTAAACTTAGTGCCATACAAGTAACAACAGAAATCTCTGTGTGCACGCAACCGTTAACATAACCATATACCAAGCCAAATGTGCACCAAGAGTTCACACCCAAGGCTCCTCATTGCCCTATAGAAGCACATCATCTCTCTGTTTGCATGCGGAACAGATAGCCAAATATCCCATGCGTCCAAAACTGGTATAGTGATTTGGGAGAAAAAGCTACACTACAACAATTTCACGTTCTTAATCATTATAATAATTTATTCATTTATAAAGTGCGAATTTCATATGCTGTAGATATGTTTAAATGCACTGTACAATGACGACATTAAGCGTGAAACAATGAATACCGGTGCATACATGTATTTAAACGTGGTCAAGCCGTTGAGCGACTGTCATCATAATCTTTCTATACTGTGCACACATGTACATATACATGTAAGTCTCTCAAGTACACCCAGCACCCGGGTTGCATGCTGGATTCTGATAGCCTTGAAGTTTTCTGTTAAACTCCAAATGTACATGTACGCTCAGAATGGGTACATGCCTCTAATCTGTCCCGAGCTGAAGTGCACCCCAAATCGGCAAAAGAAAAACAGGTGGTTACAAGTGGGTTCTTGCATGCGTTCTGCGTGCACACAAAGACCATACAAGCCGGAATAACTTAGTTACGCGTACTCAGCCTGCTCCGCATAAAAGTCACATACAAAAAAACAACCTCTTTTGTTCCGCTCAGAGCAGATTTCTTCCATCTTGACCCTGTTTTGATTCTCCCTGTCATGTGAAAAGCTTAACTACCTGGTACATGTACATGTATACAGAAAATATTAGAACTGCAGGCACATGCGCAACACAGCATCAGTAAAAACCCTGTGTATACATGTACATGTTTCATGTACACTGTACATGGATATTTAACTTAAAGGGTTCAACTGCTCCAGCTCAAGGCTTTAACCACTCGTCATTTTGTTTGTGTTTGTCAATCTTTCTGTTTCGCTCGGCACAGTTTTTTTTTTCCCCAGATTTCAGTCCTGCCATTTTCCTCTGCACCAACTCATGTACTGCAGCGTACAAGTACATGTACCATATCCCATTACTGCCTCGTGCCAGCAATACATGCTCTTCGCAACCCATGCATCAAATTGAGAGCTTGGCAAGCGGGATATCACTGTCCCATATTGCGGGACCTCCCAATCCGATCCAATGTACACCAAGGTTGTCCTTCCACAAAAGCCCTTTTGCCGAGAGGGTCCTCTCAGCCTTGAAAGCAGATCAACAGCGGCAATACCGCTATTTCACGAATGGCATGTTTGCCTACGTGTGAGCTTAAATGCTGCTCAAGGTTTCATTTTGGATCCCCATATAAAGCTCGCAACGTAATCATTCTGAGAAATGCCCGGAGGTCGGCAACAGATATTGCAAAATCGTGACAGCCGGTCATCTTCTCGGAAGTGGCACTGGACGGCTAAGCTGACCAGTCATCAGTTAGTCGTGCAGAGAATTTTTTTTAATAATGGCTTCCTTGGTTTCTGAGGACTCACTACATGTACATGTACAAATTAACATTGATCCTTAATGAAAACCCATGATTGGGCCACAGGGTGTGTCTCTGATGACGCACAGTGCTTGCATAGAATTTTTTTTCTTAGGAAAAGATACTGGCAAGTCTAGATAAAGTGACACTGATAACGGAGCCTGAAAATACAAGTAGCCAGTGGCTGTTACTTCAAAAAGAGACATTTTATGCGTACCGGTAATTCAAAAGCCACTATTTCTCCTATCTATTGCTTCTAAACCTTCATAAAAGGAACAAAGCTTGTAAATATTGCACATACTCAATAATTCTGTGGAAAAATACTTTCATTACAGATCTCGTGTTGCACACTGACAAGGCGTACTGTACTATACATGTAGGTACCAGCATATGAACTACATGTTCGGTACATGTACTTCTGAGGTCTCATACTTTTCACTGAATTATATACATTTAAATGGCCAAACACTGGTCTTCATTCCAGCCCCCAGAAAAAAATCATTCCCTTGATCATGGCCGTCCGTCTTATACATGTATGCCTGCAAAATTTTAGTTCATCTACGGTACATCATTACATTATAACATCAGGCTGGCTGTGATGTCTTTGTTTGCTAAACCTGGGGATGTAGTACATTTACATGTACATGTACATGTGAGCAATCTAATAAATAGTGCAGAAAACGGAATACCTCATTTAAAGAAAAGCCCAACTCTACCATCTTGGCGAAGGAGAGTTAACTGAGGTCCTTTGTAACTCCTTATATGAACTCAAAAAAGGGTTTGTTGGAGTTAGGCCCTCCTTTCAATTTGGTATTCAATTTCTTTTGTGGGATAACAGAAATTACGGTAACTACCAGTGCTGCTTTACCACACATTTCAGCAGTTGTCAAAACATCACCAAAGACTATGACATTCGAACCAAACCATGCTAAAACTCACAAAATTCCAACAGTGGGTAATTCCAATTGGACTTTATTCAATTTCCAATACACAATGTACATGTACACATGAAGAAACTGTTTAAATCTGTTGGATGTACATGTACGATTTATGCATGCTGCCTGACCAGATGTTGTTGGATTTCGTTACATCCAGCAAGGCGTCAAGGGAAAATTTGACGGTGGTTATGGGGTCCAAACAAAAGATTCATTGACCACTTTGCACTGAAGGATGTGTACATGTAAGACAAGAAGTGACAACCTGTACACTCAGACACAGGTAACAGGTTCAAACGTCAAGGTTACCGGTACATTGACTCACCTCTGGCTGATGTATAAACTGTTTCCCCCCCCTGAGAAGACCATGTACTGAATCTAAACTTGGCTGCACTGCGACACAGCCTCTAGTGGTAGCAAAATCACTCCATGGATATGGATATGTCCCAGAGTGTTGAACGATATGAGGTTGCAGTATGAAATATCGTACAAATACTGTTTTAAATGATTCGGTTGCAGACCAATATTTGTGATGTTAATCTATGTATCAAAAATTGGCAGTTCTTTCCTCTTCCATGGTTAGGCACTCAGAAATTAAAAATTCACCTGTGATGGAGATTGGCTGGCATCGTCCACCAGCGTGGACTGTGTCTGCATGTCCACTGAGATATTCCTCTGCTCGCTGGCCACAGGCGAGTCCACCCCCGCCTCCTCGGGGATGTTAGGGTGGGAGATGGTACGGATCTGGCCTGGCCCCACGTCCTCCGACAGATGCTCGGCACTGATGATGCACTCGCGGGAGGACGAGGTCCGGTCCTGGTCGGTCCAGCCGGATGCTGCTAGGTCACCCTCTGGATGGTGATGAAGTTTCTGCTGCTGCTGTTGATGTTGGCCATTCTGGGGGTGATGACCGTTGGCCGTGCCGTTGGCACTGACGACGGCCGCCTCACTCGGTGAAATGGTGCCGTTTTCGCGCTTGGCTATGGCCCGCATCTGTACAGCTTTTTCTTGGACGATAGCTGCAGCAAAAAATTGAAAACCACCATGTAAATTCTCATTATTATAAAGTACCAAAGTGAATACATCACGCAAACAATTATGTGGGAAAAAGAGAGAGAACTAGCATGAACATGCTTGCATACTTCACTGATTTGTCCAGCAACTCCTGGTTCTAAATAATGTCACTCTTTGATACTCTATAGTAAGGTGTTTTATCAATGTACATGCACCATTGTGCATGTACAGTAAGTATACTCTTCATGTTAAATAAGATTCTACAAATGTTCCTACATGTACATACACCGTATACATGCTGTCATCATTTTCTTTGTTCACTCCTGCATGAGTCCAGTTCTGTCTGTGAAATCTTTATGATATTTGCAAACACAGGCACATTCAATTTTCCCTTACTAAATCCTAGGGCATGCATACACAGTTTGCATCACTAACACGTGCCTTACTTCGCTAAGAGTTTGACAGGTTTTGAACAACTGCTTTCCAAGCAGACTGTCAAGGAAGTCAATCAGCATCGAGTATCGCAGGGTGTAGTGTACGGGCTGGTTCAATGCACTGCAGCTGTGCATTAAAGGTTGCATACATTGTACAAGCTGCCAGCCTGCCACTGGGGTTTATGATGCAAAAGAGATTGCAGTCTTCAGGCAGACTGTTCATTCAACTTTCACATCAGATGATGAGATCCTACGACAGACTACTGATGCAGTCTCCCCGCTGGTTCAGTGGACTGTGACCCAAAAGAGGTTAGCCAACTTCCATCAATCGCAATCAATTCAGTGATATTCTAGACAGCAATACGATAGCGCACTTCCCCCGCAAACACGCCCTTATCAGGCGATAAGAGGGAAATCTATACCCTTCCTACTCTGACATTCAGCCAGCTGGGGGAGGCCTATAATAACCAAAAGCCCTCTTCAAATAAAATGTCCTGGCCCGTTTTTGTGGGCCAAACTATGACTGTCTGTGAAAACTGTGATCACAATGCTTCCATTATGGGGAAAAAAAAGGTCTCTTAAATGAGTACTGAATTCACAACTGAAAAAAATGATCCATAGACACAAGCATCCACATCAAGCATTAATCTCTAATAACCTCCAAGTACATGTAGTTCTAATGAGTACATGTACATGTACAGAGTATGTATTACAGTGGATCCCTTTTGGCCTTCAATCATGAACCCCCAAAATGTTCCTGCCATCACATGCAATAGAAATGGCTGCATGCCAAGAAAAGAAAGGTTTGCCAAAATGCCCTACCAGAGACCAACAACCAAAACAGTTACTGGTTAAGACAGCCCAAGTGTACATGCACTGGTATCCCGCATGTTGTGCAAATTGGCATTTTTGGTCTGCAATGTTCTAGCTGAAGACCGCTGTAAGAGTTTCCTTTGCTAGTTTATTCCCTCGAAATCACCCTGCAAAATCTCACATCCATGCATTTTAAAAGTTTAAAAGATTTCTTTCGGGGGGGAGGGAATCCACTTCAAATTAGAATAAATTCCATTTCCGAAACCATCAAAAAGCCAGTGCATGCTCCCTGCACAGCAAGCAGGCATGACATGTACACCTACTTTCACTCAGTGGGTCAATGGTGTGCAGCATTAACTGCAACGCCCCATGACGAAACATGTTGGTGTTGCGGAAGTGCGGCACACTGTGGCGACGATTCCGCCCAACTGGTATCTCCTTGGCCTGCATGGGGGAGGAAAGAAGGAAAGAAACAAATACATGTAGGCTCATCAAAATAAAACAGCACTTTCTTGAAAGGTCAATGCACTGTGTAACTTTCTCTTCAACAGAGGATTTGCATGGTTGCCGTCTTGCAGGCCAGCAAGTGCTTTTGTTCCACAGGGTATGCACAACGGAGGTTTCCCTGAGGAACAAAAGAGCTGCCCTGCCAGATGGCTACCACGCAAAGCCTCTGCAGAAGTATGTACATGTACAGTAGTAATGCACATCCATGGATGAGCTAGCGTACGGTACCATAATGACCGGTACCTGTAGTCTGCAGCATACTCTCATTCTTTAGTTTGTTCAAGCTACATGTACATGATGTGTATACATGTATGTACAGTACGTACGAATTCTGTTGGGTTACATACCGGTATACAAGTACATGTATGTTACATGTATTTCCCCATCCTTTCATTTGCTTTAATCTTCCACAATTTGTCAGGCTGTGCAGATGAACCAATATGGCACATTCCGTCTTCCAAAAAAGGGAACATTTTACACATAGGAAATTTAAGTATGTGTTGATCTTCATGTAGATGTACATGTAGGTTTCTACAGGCCTCCACCCAACAACCTGTATATGCACCATACAGGGAAATGTACATTGTACATGTATGGTACATGTATGGTACATGTAAGGTACATGTACCGGACTCTTCCCAAGCACTTCTTAGTCTTATTATCACAAGGGATAAAAATGAACTTTAATGCATGTGAATAAGATGCACATGTACCAACTGCAGTGAACTGATCAACAGAGTTTCAGCTATAT